TTTAGCACAATATCTGACACAGAGCACTCACGACAGGAAGACTATTGTCCCCAATCCTACCCTTTATCCTTTTTTTTTTTTTTTGTCGTCTTTTTTTCATGACCGGCAACGGATCGCAACCCTCAGTGTCGCACCCGTACCAGACCGGGACTGGCAACGGGATTGCAACCCTCGGTGTTGCCCCCGCACCTCACTCAGCCAGTGAGCGGCTGGTCCGTATGTGGGATCCGAACCCTCGGTGGGAGCGCCGGTGCGCTTCCCAAGCGGCGCACTGTAGCAGTGCGCCACCGGGCCAGTCCCCCAATCCTACCCTTTAATATTGCCTAATAGGGACCCTAATTTATAGGACAGCTTCTCAAATAAAATCTAGTTCCAAGTTGGTCTACCATCTTTGTCCTGGAGCTCAGTGATGCATCAGCACCTTCCTATTTAAGGCTGTGTCTGGGAGGTCAGCCACCTGCTTTTAAAATAATACTAATAATGGTAGCTACTCTTTACTGAGCGCTTAATATGTGCCAAGTGCTCTACAGGCCTCATCTCCTTTCACCATCACAAGAACAATGTGAGATAGTTGCTGTAATCTTCACCCCTTCATAGATGAGGGAATGGGCTCAGAGAGGTGAACCAACTTGCCCAAGGTCACACAGACAGTAGAAGAACAGAGGTCTGTGATTCGTCTACCTTATAGCCCAGAGGCAGCCCTCTTACCCATGTGCTGTACTTGTTCATGCATGATATGGCTCTGCCTCTGGTTTCCTGCCTTTTGGTCAATTCATTAGCTGTTAATGCAGTAGTCCCATTTATCCTCAGGGGATGCCTTCAAAGACTCCAGTGGATGCATGAAGCTCTGGATAGTACTGAACCTGATCGCTGCCAAGTGGCATACATTTCTGTTCATGTCTTCCACCCACAAATTTAATGCCTTTTCCATCTTAACTAAACACTTATCATGCACTGTGTGTGGCTGTAACTTCTGCAGTTTGAGGCACAACAGCAAAAGTAGCATGAATTTCTTTTTCCTTCCTCACAATTTCACTGATAGAGATTCATTCTTACCCTAGATCTTAGCAATGTCAGCATCCAATTTTTTTTCTTACCTTATTAAGTCAGGAATTTTTACCTTTTCACTTAAAGGAAGCACTTATGACTTATCTTTGGCATTTGTGAATTGCCAGCACTTTGGGGCTGAAGTAAAACAAGAATTACTTGAACGTCAGCACTGTAATACCGCAACAACTACTAAGTGACTAATGGGCAGTAAGCGTGGATACCCTGGACAAAGGGGTGATTCATGTCCCATGTAGGACAGAGTGGGATGGCACGAGATTTCATCATGCTACTCAGAAGGGCATGCAATTTCAAACTTATGAGTTGTTTCTTTCTGGAATTTTCCATGTAATATTTTCAGAACATGTTGACTGTGGGTAACTGAAACTGCAGAAAGTGAAACCGTGGATAAGGGGGGACCACTGTATCTTCTTCCGAATATGAACCTAAATTTTTATGGTGGGGGGAGGGGAGGGAGAAAGTGGAATTAATAATTGAAAATGGTAGATTCTATCCCCATTTATCTGTTTTCCCTGTCTCCCATGGCCCTGAATAATTAAGTTTATTTTAAATGCTTATTTACTCATTCAGCATATATTTGTTTAGTCCCTTCTCTCTGCTCAGCCCCCAAATGATATGAGGAAGCCTAAGTCAATGGCTGCCAGCTGTGAGCTGACCTTGGAAAGCCAAGACAGAGGAGGTCAAGACTTGGTCCCAGCTCTTCTCAACCTCAGCTGCATGGTATAGTCACCCAGGGAGCTTTCAGAATTGCAGGCCCCCAGTCCCATCCCTGGAGACTGTGATTCAACAGGTCCAGAGAGTTATTCAGATGCCTATATATTTTTGGAAAGTTCCCCAGGTGATTCTAAGGCACAGTCAGAGTTGAGAACCACTGGGAGACTCAAGAAAACACAGCTTCTATTTGGCAATAGCAAGTACATTTGACGAAGAACATTCCCTATGACCCAGCTGTAAAATTCTTAGGTATATGGCCTAGAGAAACTGTCATACAGGTGCCTAGGAGTTATGTACAAGAACGTGTATGCAGCATTATTTGTAAGAGGGAAAACTGAAAGTAACCTAAAGGTTCTTGGACATGGAATGGATAAAGAAATTGTTGGATTCATACAATGGGAGGTTCTGCAGCAGTGAAAATGAATTGAGTAGAACTGCTTGTATCAACATGGAGATAACATATCATTGAGCAGACAAAGCAAGCTGCAGTATGATACAAAGTTTAAAGAAACCAAAAGCTACACTGTGTACTCAATTACTTGTACACGAATGTTCATAGCAGCACTCCACGCAAAAGCCAAAAGGTGTAAATAACCCAAATGTTCATCAGTGAATAAATGGATAGACAAAATGTGGTCTGTCTGTGCAATGGAATATTATTCAGCCATAAAAAGGAATGAAGACAGATGTATGAAAAGATGTGGATGACCCTTGAACACATTATGTCTGCTAAGTGAAGGAGCCAGCCACTAAAGATCATATATTGTACAATTCTATATATGAAATATCCAGAATAGCTAAATCCATAGAGACAGCAAGTAGATTGGTGATTGCCAAAAGATAGGAGGAGAGAGAAATGGGGAATGATGGTTAATGGGTATGGAGTGTCCTTTTGGGGTGATGAAAATGTTTTGGAACTAGACAGAGGTGGTATTTCCACCACATTGTGAATGTACTAAATGCTACTGAATTGTTTACTTTAAAATGGTTAATTTTATTAAATTTTAAATTACACCTCAATAAAAGAGGTAACAATTATACACTTTTCAGACATAGACATAATGTTGTACAATATAAAAACAAGGGAATGACAAGCGCCAAATTCAGAATGATGTTTACAAGGGGAGAAGAAAGAGAGTGGGATGAAGGACGGGTTGCAGGGAGCAAAACTGGATTAGTAATGCTTTATTTCTTAAGTTGGATGATGGTACATGGGTGTTATATTATTCACAATGCATTTAGTATTTCTATAACATTCGATAAACAAGAAAGTTTCTCAAGAAAGACCTTGGGGATGGAGATCCAGATTTGGGACTTAGTTAGCATGTATGAAAGAGAGCTATTAAATCGAATTGCATAAACAAATATGATACTGCGTATTCAGTAATATACTTGGGTCTAGTGTCACAACACATACATGTATACATGCAATGCTTTTTTGTGTTGGATATTGCAACATTCTCCCAGAACAACATTGGATCAGTTTGACCCTCCCCCACATTTGGGAAGCTCAGTTCTGGTCTTTCATATTCATTCCAGAATGTGCAACTTGTTATAGATCAGCCTTGATGAAGTCAAACCCTCTCATCATCAGAAAACCTTTCTTTATATCATAATGAGCATTTAAATTTTAAGAATTAAAATGTGTCAGCTGTGTCAAAGGAAAAAAGAGAGGAGGAAAGAGAGTTTGCAGTTTCCTGCCCTTCTAATGACCATCCCAGTAGTAACCTCCCGACCTTGTTTGTTGACACAGACAAGTCCTGTCACCTCTCTGAGCAGTGGGTTTAGTCCCTGAATGGAGGGATAACCCACTGGCTCCCTAATCCCTGTGACC